CCCCAAAACCCCAAAACCCCAAAACCCCATGGGAAATAAAATGGGGATAATGATGTTAAATTTGAAATAAATTTAATTTATTACAATTATTAATTAAAGTTATCAATGGGAGCACGCGAAAGTTGTGGACTTATAGTATTCGGTAGAAGAGAGGGAAACTATGCAGCATATGGACTCACTGACCCAGAAGGCAAGTTCCTTACCAAATTGTACTGCAAAAATCTAAAATCACTAAAATGTATGAATAGCACTACTAAACTATCCGCTTTCATAAAATTCATTAATTTATTTAGATCAATAAGTCTGCTATGCGGATTTATTGAGAATGCTATCTGAAGCAATAGAGACGGATGAAGAAATTCTAGATACTTAGATGTCTACTAAATTATTTTTGTCTTGGAAGGAGGAATTAAAGCCCTATCTTGTTAGGAATAGTCAGCTAGATCATTAGAGTTAAACAAAGACCCCTCCGTAGATGTTCGATGTGAAACTTGATGATTTTTATCTGCTCTGGCATAACTCTATTAAAGCATAGTAAGAATCAGTGCTTATTCAATTATTCTATTTATCACTAATCTGGTTTTAATTTCTATTACAGTGAATCTAGAGATGCTGATAGTACAGGTTGTTGCGGGGGCCGAATGAAGCATCGATAACTTTCGGAATAGTTAATCGGTCAAACATTTACGCCTAGAGCTCCAGAGGGAAGTGAGAGACTTAAAGCCTATAAATCAATTACTAAAGGTTCTCATGAATCCCTAGATAACAATAAAAATGACAAATGAAATGATATTCAGAGTGCTCAATTCATCATTGATAATATAAAGTTATTTGAGCGATAAATGTGAATCTCTAAATGATTAGTATTTGTTAAGGAAGTGTAGAGATGCTATCTTTTTTAATTCTCAATTAATACTATAACTTATTCTTTTAAAATTTACAATAAATAACTTTATAATTAAAATCATCAGCCGAATGCCTTATTTAATTATTACACATCCTACATTGGATTTAATTTGATTCTACGGGGTTTTGGGGTTTTGGGGTTTTGGGG